GACAGACGCCGGGATTCCTCAAGCACTCGACCAGTGAGGCGGCGAAATCTGTTTTAAGGAAACTGCTTTTGTGAAGGCTTCGGTTTCGTCTCTTTACCCTTTTATTGTTTGTGTATTTCTGTTGAAATTTAGTTGTACTTATTAGTATGTGTTCTTAGTATATATATAATTTGATTTCTTCATAAATCTATTTATTTAATTTCAAAATTTGAACAACAAGCTTAAAACATATTTTTCATATATGTTTTCCTATGAAATTGATCGAATAGATTTATATAGACATTTGTATAATATTACTAGGAACTGTTGCGGAATTGCTCCCTATTTCAATGATTGTAAATTATACAATGTGATTCTCTAATTGTTTAGTTTAATTAGAATGCTCTATCATAATTTGTATACTTAATTGTATTACTCTGATATTATTTTATGAGTATGGTTCATCATTCCCCTTCTATGATTTGCAAGAATTTTAAGGTTATAAAATATAATTTATTGATGTTGCAATTTTGACATGCTAATTCTATTCTATTCTAGGTTTTAATTTGTTACATGCTTATAATTTTCTAGACTAGATTACATAATTTAATTTTTAAAATTTTGCATGTTAATGGTTGAATGGTTATATACTTGAAGTGCTTGGTTATTAGTTTATTACATATAAACAATTCAAATTATTTACATAAACCGCATGCTACTTATTTGGTTTCATCCTATTTGTCTAATGTTGCATATGTATATTTTGATTTTGCATGCTTCTAGCTTTACTATCTAATTTGCATGTGAAATTGCTTCTAGTTTTCTAGAGTTATACACATAAGTTATTTCCATGAATAGTGTGTGATTTAATTGGATGAATTAAAGTTTGAATTAAATGTAGTTCTTTGGAATTATAAAATTTGTGTAACTTGCTTATATTTATTTACATGGTTATTGTGAATTAAATTCGTATATAATTTATGGCAATTAATTTTTTAATTTAATGTAAAAGTTATAAGGTTTTGTAACTTGTATAGTATCTTAATTCCTTAGTTATTTTGCTATTCTATGATTTGCTAGAAGGTTAAATAATATTTGATTGTATGTACAATTGCTTTATATTATGTTGTCGTTTTCTACTAACTCTCTTTGTAGGCATACCTAAGCGTAGAAAGGAATTGTTTGGACTACTTATAATCCTCAATTGGATTGGTTATTTTTCTTTATGTTTGAAGAAATGTTTTACTTGAGATTTAGTTGGTTTGTTTACCAATTTGTAGTAGCAAGTTTTATTTGCTTATTAGACGCATTTTATATGCATGTATTTAGTTGTAGCAATTTTAAATTGTTTGCAAGTTTAAATTGCTTGTAAGTTTGGATTTTGGTTTGGTTTTCTGGAATAGAAACCAAAGTGTTTAGCCATGGCTAAAAAGGAGGTTTTATTTGTTCGAAATGGCAACTATCACTGATGCTGCTGTTACTGCTAATGTTGGTGGGGATCTGAACCCTGGGGCAACTGGGTTGCCAACCCCTACTGTTGTGACCTCTGTGGTCAACCATGGCGTTACTCCGTGACTGTGATTTTAATGGTTCTCAACCAAAATTTGGAAGCTCTATGTGAATTAGTGAAGATTAGAGTTCCTATGTGGCTTAAAGCATTGCAAATTTAGGTGGACTTTTCTATAAATGATTTGGTCTTTAATTTGCCATAGGTGAAGTATTGTATTAGGAATGGAGGTTGAATGTTATGGTTCAAGTCTGGTGTTTTGTTTGGTCTTGTCAATTAGCTTTCTATGTTCAAGGTAACAGGGTTATAGGTCTACTTTGATTGGAGTTACTTGTCTGGCTACTGTGTTGGCATTTGTCTTGTTGGTGTGTCTGGTTCACTGCTCTTTGCTAAGTTTTGTAGAATGACTGAAGGGTTGCTTGTTGCTTTGAAATGATTGGAAAATTTGAATGGAGTTCAAGGCAGTGTAGAATGACTGAAAGGCTGATGGTTTCTGCTGATGTTTGCACTGGTTTCTGGTTGTCTTGCTGATATTGCACTTGGTGCTTGGAAGCAGGGCTACTGATTGGAGGTTTGCTTGTTGTTTTGAAATGTTTGGTTAATTTGAATGAAGTTCAAGGCAGCGGGGTTATAGGTCTAATATGAATGGAGTTACTTATCTAGCTGCTGTGCTGGTATTTGTCTTGTTGGTTTGTCTGGTTCACTGCTCTTTGCTGAGTTTTGTAGAATGACTGAAGGGTTGGTTTTTGCTTTGAAATAATTGGTCAATTTGAATAGAGTTCAAGGCAGTGTAGAATGACTAAAGGGCTAGTGGTTTTTGCTTATGTTTGCACTGGTTTCTGCTGATGTTGCACTGGTTGTCTTGCTGTTACAGAGTTTTGTGGCTGCCTAAGCTGGTTTTTCTTTTCCTTTACTCTATTTGCTTTGTTTGTTGGTCTCTCACCAACTAGGAGGTTGGAGCTTGATATAGCTCCAAGCTCCTCTTTATTGATATAATTTATCTTACTTTGTATGTGTTTCATCAATAAAGTCTTCTTTTTGCCGATCAAAACAATAAAAATCCCTACAACATATTAAGGTTTTAGAGATTAAAAATTAGGTACAAAATCTCTTTTTAGGAACCGATTTTTTTGTTGTTACAAGTGTCATTATTATATTTTTAGCGACGAATTAGAATTATTATACTTTTGGGACCAAATTATTTTGTCCCAAATAGTATGCTTAATAGAGATATTTCAAAGTTTTGTCACTAAAAGTCATTTTTTGTCTTTTTAGGATGACTTTTAAGCGACCATTCTCATGATGACATGAATTTGTTGCCAAATATTTTTTCCAACAAAATTTTTACTTCTAAAAATAAAAAGGTTTAGTCTTTAGAACTGTTAGTGCATGATTGGTTATCAAGCTGGATTAGTGAGATAAATAAATTTCTTGGATGCATGTTTGTTGTAGGAAAAAATGATTTTTGGGGACTTTAATTTAATATTAAAGTGTGGTGACTTTAATTAAAGATTAAAGTGGGTCCCAACCATCTATTGTGTTGGGTCCAAGTGGGTCTAGATACTTTGCATTGAGATCTTTACACCACAGATAGAATGGCCAAAAACCATTGAGATTTGAATGAGAAATTACCTCATGAAGTTAGCTTCATGGAAAAAAAGGTAATGAAGTTTGTAACTCCTGCATTAATGGGGTTTGTAACTCCTGCATTAATGGGGTTTGTAACTCCTGCATTAATGGGGTTTGTAACTCCTGCATTAATGGGGTTTGTAACTCCTGCATTAATGGGGTTTGTAACTCCTGCATTAATGGGGTTTGTAACTCCTGCATTAATGGGGTTTGTAACTCCTGCATTAATGGGGTTTGTAACTCCTGCATTAATGGGGTTTGTAACTCCTGCATTAATGGGGTTTGTAACTCCTGCATTAATGGGGTTTGTAACTCCTGCATTAATGGGGTTTGTAACTCCTGCATTAATGGGGTTTGTAACTCCTGCATTAATGGGGTTTGTAACTCCTGCATTAATGGGGTTTGTAACTCCTGCATTAATGGGGTTTGTAACTCCTGCATTAATGGGGTTTGTAACTCCTGCATTAATGGGGTTTGTAACTCCTGCATTAATGGGGTTTGTAACTCCTGCATTAATGGGGTTTGTAACTCCTGCATTAATGGGGTTTGTAACTCCTGCATTAATGGGGTTTGTAACTCCTGCATTAATGGGGTTTGTAACTCCTGCATTAATGGGGTTTGTAACTCCTGCATTAATGGGGTTTGTAACTCCTGCATTAATGGGGTTTGTAACTCCTGCATTAATGGGGTTTGTAACTCCTGCATTAATGGGGTTTGTAACTCCTGCATTAATGGGGTTTGTAACTCCTGCATTAATGGGGTTTGTAACTCCTGCATTAATGGGGTTTGTAACTCCTGCATTAATGGGGTTTGTAACTCCTGCATTAATGGGGTTTGTAACTCCTGCATTAATGGGGTTTGTAACTCCTGCATTAATGGGGTTTGTAACTCCTGCATTAATGGGGTTTGTAACTCCTGCATTAATGGGGTTTGTAACTCCTGCATTAATGGGGTTTGTAACTCCTGCATTAATGGGGTTTGTAACTCCTGCCTTTATTGCAGAGGTTAATGGTGCATTATGAACAGCCATAAAGGCTGGAGGCTCTTCCTCTCTCCCCTATACATGTATAAATTGAGACCCTCCTGTCAAGTCTCAAACACAAAAAAATTTTCTTCCATTTTCACAAGTCAGTTTGCCTGAAAGTTCCTACAGTGAGAGAGTGCTGCCACTGTTTTGTTCGCTAAGCTAGACAGAGAGTGCTTCTGCCGTAACTGGTTTTGACCGTCGTATCCTGGAAGACAGACGCCGGGATTCCTCAAGCACTCGACCAGTGACGCGGCGAAATCTGTTTTAAGGAAACTGCTTCCATGCAGGCTTCGGTTTCGTCTCTTTACCCTTTTATTGTTTGTGTATTTCTGTTGAAATTTAGTTGTAATTATTAGTATGTGTTCATAGTATATATATAATTTGATTTCTTCATAAATCTATTTATTTAATTTCAAAATTTGAACAACACCTTCTTCATACCTTTTCTATTCAAATTGAATAGGTGCCAACAAAGCCTATATAAAGGCTGCCCCATTCCAATTTTGATTGATTTCGAAAATTCATTTTCCTTACCTTCATTTTACTCTCTTGCGTCCTTTGTTCTTCATTTTAGTTTTAGAATAAATATTCAGAGAGTTAGAACACAGGTTTGGTTCGCCGAACAATTTGTTTTGGAGTGCTACTACAAATTGGTTAAGATCATTGTATCCTGAGAGATAGACGCTACTCAACTGTAAGTACCGTGGCGGGGCGAATCTGTCTTAAGGACAGAGTGTCACACACTCGACTTGGTCTTTGAATTATTTATTCGGTTCTACAAAATAAATACTGTAAGTTTTATTTTATTTTGTTTGAATTGTTTGAATTTATTTTATTTATACAGAAGATTGTTTCAACAAGAATCGCATTTTTGTGTAAGGTGAGGCTCAAAGAGGAGGGACAAAGGGTGTTGTGGGTGGGCAGGGTGGTTAGTTTCTTCCGGTAGTTTTGCACAAGATTTGTGGAGAAATAATGAACACTCATTGCAACTGTAGATTGGATCTATACCCAATATTGGTTTTGTGCATCCTATGCAATTTTGATCCTCATTAGCATCAGCATTGTGATCTTCAACCAAGACCATGGGATGTGGATGCCCAAAATATTCAAAATCCATCTCTCTGTCTCTCTGTTTGTGTGTTTGGATGTTTGTTTGTCTGAGTAAATCTTGGATGTTGTTGTGGAATGTGATAGGAAGGGCTATAGCTTAAATACAAGACTTAAATGGATAACAATTGAGCAGAGTTCAATCTTTAATAATTTATTTTTGGACTGAATTATTAAAGTGCGTGATGGAAGAACTTATTTGAATGTCGCAAGTCTGTAGGGTGGGTTGGTTTGACAAAGAGTTTCTGGTTTTCAGAAAGTTGAAGTTGTGAAGTCAACATTTTGTTAAATCACATGTGCATTCCCCTTTGCTCACATGATTGAAGTGGTTTCTATTTTTAGGATACTATCATAAAATATCATTGTAGGAAAGATCAACAATACAAAATGAACGTATAGAATGTTTTAGATACAAAATGCATAGATGCGAGATAAAAATTATTTGTATTTGTAATTGCAATGATATGGACATATGTGCCGTAATTTTTATTTGTTTTATTCTATACGCCTAGACTTTTTCAAAATATAATAATGCAGTTTCTATTTGAATGCTGCAGGTAGATATAGCCTTTACTAGCTGTGCAGTGTACATATATGACTACTGACTCTACAAGATTATTTTAATAATTTTTTTAATTTTTTATGAAAATATGTATAAAAAAATAAAAAGAGTGATGTGATAACTTATAATAACTTTTAAATTTTTTGACTAAAATATATAGTTCATCAACGAAGTTTTAATTATTTAATTGGCTGTATATGTAACATAATAAAACTTTATATCCACACAAGTGGTAAGGACCCTTATGTTGAGTTTCAAACCCGATGGCTTTGATTGGGTCATTCATTCATATATATACTAGCAGTAACCCGTCTTATGCATGGGCAAGTAACAAAAAATGATAAATAATGTTAAACATGTTAAAAATTAATAATTAAATACTATGACATTTATTTAGATGGGTATTGAAATAATATATTTAGTGATCTTACTATATTTAATTAAATAAATTTTAGAAAAAAAAAAAGTTGAACTGAAAATTAAGAGTAAGAGTGGATTCTGTAAATATAAGATATAGATAAAAACAAATTAAGTTTAAATTTGAAGATAAACTATATATATATATATAAGAAAATTAGACAAATCCTAGAAAAATGAGGTAGAGAGAAATTCAGTAATTGAAAAAACAAAAAAACAAAGTTGAAATTTAAAATTAAAAAATAAGATAAGACAAACTAGAAAAGAAAAATAAAATCTAATATAACTCTAATAACAGAAGAAATGGAAAGGGTAATAATTAAAAAATTAGATAAGAGTGAAATGCCACTTATAATTTTTTAAAATTTGTAAAAAAAAAACTAAAATAAAATCGAGGTAGTATGTTAAAAATTAGATAAGATTTAAGTGCCAATTATAATTTTTTAAAATTTAAATTTTGTGTAGTTAGAAAATAAGCAATTATGTTATCTTATTATACAAATTTTAACTCTATTTTGTGTCTACTACCTATAATTTAATCAAATTTTGTCTTCTAAAGCTATTAAATTGAAATAAGAAAGAATAAAAAATTATAAGAATATAGAAAGTGAAAATCAGATAAAAATAGGATAAACTTAATTAAAAATCAAAAGCAAGAATCGATCCTATAAATATAAGATAAATATTAAAAAAAAAATCAAATGAAAATTTGAAGATAAATTATACGAATATAGAAAGAGAAACTTAGATAAATTGCAAAAGTAAAAGAGAGCAAAAAAACACAATATGAGATTTAAAACATGTGCTCCTTTTCACATAAGATGCTAAAAATCTTGCATAATTGGTTAAATCACCCGTTTAATTTCTTTAGAACGTTATTTTTGTCTCCAATCTTTTTGCCTAATTTCATATTGTCATAGAAGTTAGGTTTTGAGATTTATAAATTTATTTATTTATTTATTTCAAATATCCTTAGGTAAGACATAAATTGATGAAGAAATTTGAATTAGAGTCAAACTAATCTTTTATTTTTAAATATTTTGAAAATCTTTTTTCTTTAAATATTTTGGAAATCTTTTATATCCATGCCATAAGTAATTAAAAAGCGAAATAAAAAATATAAAAAAAGATAAGAAAAAATTGGAAAATAGAATGGGAGAAGAATGGATGTGCCACGTAGGAAAGAGGTTCATGAGATGTTAGGATTGAGAGTTTTGATGAAGAAATTTGAATTAGAGTCAAACTCATATTCTATTTTTAAATATTTTGAAAATCTTTTATCTTTAAATATTTTGAAAATCTTTTATATCCATGCCATAAGTAATTTAAAAGTGAAATAAAAAATATAAAAAAAGATAAGAAAAAATAGGAAAATAGAATGAGAGAAGAATGGATGTGCCACGTAGGAAAGAGGTTCATGAGATGTTAGGATTGAGAGTTTTGAATTTTTTAAGAGATCAGTACATTTGCTTATATATATAGTATAGATATAGATATATATATATATATATGGATAATATTGTATTTTAGCTCTAATCCTGACGTGTAGTAGGTCATTATTCATTCATATATATGGATAATATTATATTTTAGTTCTAATCCTGACGTGTATTATCCTTCATTATAAGATGTTTCAAATTTGTTATTATTTATTTATTTATTTGCACATTAATTAAATATAAAAAAATAATTGAGACCCTTTAAAAAAAATATCTCTTAATCTATCTTCCACTTTTTAATTTTTAATCTTTTTAAATATTAATTTGGTGCACCAATCTAGTTGAACAACCACCCATGTTTTTTTTTATTTTGAAATCAACAACCGCCCATGTGAAATGACCCAATCTTCAATTTGCCTGTTAACAATAGATATATAAATAAAAATCATTACTTAGAGGAAAAATTAATAAAATATACCTATATAAGAGAGGTCTAATATGATTTTTTTTTTATTTGTTAAGGTCTTTCAATAATATTATTAAAAAAAAATTCTGTAAAAATATTAAAAGATCTCAACTATTATGAAAATGTTACATATTTTTTATCTTATAAAATTATAATATTAGGATCTTAAATTAAAATCCTTCCATTTTATATTATTTATATGCACCAAGTTGTTAATTTTTTTATTTTTTTTTTTGAGAACTCGATTTGCTATGCGAAAATTTCGCTACCAAAAATTCTAACAATAAAATAATGGTAAATTTCACCAATTTTTTTTTTTTAAATTTAAAGAAAATATATTGAATGTCTTTTATACTAAAATATATATTTTATTTAATTTATCATTATATTCTCATACTGTTTGCATTAGTGTATGTTGTTTTAATTTTATTTAAAAAAGTTAGGCTTTGTTTGGTAGAGCTTTTGAAGCTTAATTCGACCCCTTAGTTTGAGTGTGTTGTTTGGTTACAGGTTTAGAAAATTAATTTTACACTCACTTTTCAAAACACTTTTTAAAAAACTCACTTTTCAATATTATATGCCACATCACTCAATTCAAACTCTTTTTAAAACTCATAACTAAACAAATTTTTCACACTCAAATCATAATTTCAAAACTCACAAACTCAAAATACAATTTTATTCTCAAACCATAATTCGAACTCTACCAAACGCAACCTTAGTCTAATTATATCAAACTTGTGAGACTTATTACAGTGCAAAAATACAAGAATAAATAAAAAAAAAAAGGAAAATTTACAGGCAAGTCTTATTTTGACAAATAATAGTAGTTTAGATTCTACTCACAAAACTTTAAATGCATGAGTTCTCTGTTAATTGTATATGGCCCATCATCCTTATAAATTCAAAAACACAAAATATCCCTTGATTTTTTTTATTATTTATTTTTGTTCCACTCTTTCTCTCTCTATCTTCACAAATTCCAGATTTCTTTACTATTTTTGCTCATATCTCTCTCTCTCTCTCTCTTCACAAATTTCAATTTTCTCTACTATTTTTGTTCCCCTCTCTCTCTTTCTCTACAAATTCCAAAGCAACAAAGTTAGAAGATTATTACTATCATCAAACATTGATTTGGTTGGAATATTCTTATATTCGAAAAAGCGAAATGGTGAAAACAAGTAAGAGCTCTCATTGCAAGTGGTCTTTGATGAGCTCTTGAAGATCACTTGGATTCCCGATACCTTGAAGTTTGCAAAATTGTGATCGACGATGATATAGATTGACTCCACGATTCGATCAATTCTATAGATGCGAACATAGGAGAGAAGATCTTAACAATTTCAAACATTGACGATCTAAAAACATTTCTGAGCGCTGTTATTATAAATCAAGAGACCTATTTCAATGTTCTGATGGAAGTATTCGACTTTTCATATTCAAAGAAGCGAAATAGTGAAAACAAGTAAGATTAAAATATCTTAAACTCTAGTTTCTTAAGGAATCTTTTCAGTTTTGATACTCTTAATGTTTGGTAAAGTTTTAGAATTATGATTTAAGAATAGAATTGTATTTTGAGTTTGTGAGTTTTAGAATTATGATTTGAAAAGAGAAAATGCTTGATTATGAATTTTGAAAAGAGTTTTGTATTTTTGATGTGACATATGAAATGAGAAAAGTTGTTTGGTTATGAGTTTTGAAAAAAAATTTCAAAACTTAACTCAAAAACTTATAACTCATAACTAAACACACAACACAAAACTCTATTGAAAATTCTATTCAAAATTCATAACCAAACTCTTTTTAAAATTTAATTCAAAAAAATAATTTTTTATTTTGGTCTAAAAAAAAATAATTTGTATGTTTAAAAAATATCAAAAACAAAAATATTTTTTTTCTCCAAATAACAGGTGGCGATTGGCAATTGCAAAAAAAAAAAAAAAAAAAAAAAAAAAAAAAAAAAAAAAAAACTATTCTGGTCAATTGGCTGGACGACTGGCCAGACGTTCGGAGGGATGACCAAGTAGACCTAATTTCAAAAATTCCTCTGTTTTTTAGAATGGAGAAAACAAAAGAGAGAGAGAGAGAGAGAGTATGTATGAATCTATCAAACGTGGAAGATAAATATGTTTTGAAATGTATGGTGGAATCACATTTTCA